AAGAACAGCTTCATCTGCTCATCCTTGTTCCCATCAACATCTGTCTTACCTCTCCCAGCTTCTCTGTCCCTCCTTCATTGACAATATTCATGTTCATGTCAGTGGCTTCCTTGAAAAAGACTTCCCGAACTTCAGCAAAGCCCTGGCTGGTGGGGATCATCAGGGCTTCCAAGATGGAACTGATGTATGGTTGGACATGGTTCCGGACACAGACCTCAGCTTTGGAGAAGACGACGGCTGGAGGAGAAGAACAGCACAAGGACTGCTAAGAGCCAACTTCTATTTTTATTTAAGAAATCTAACAAGCTCAACCCAGATTGCCCAAGAGAAAAGGAACGGTGGTGGATCTCCATCCAGGAAAGTAGATATGGGGGACCTGTAGTTCTCCAGATGTTCTTGAACATCTAACCTTGCTCAAGACCTTCAGAAAGCCACTCCCAATGGACCTAACCGGTTTGGGCAACGATAGGCAACTTTGGGAGGTGTAGTTCAGCAACATCTGGAGGACCACAAGTTGTCCACTCTTCGAATGAAAGCCAGACTGTTGTATGGCTCAATTCTTCTGAACATTCCACAAAGGGAAAAATATTCCAGGGTTGTTCAGAAATAAAAAAATAGAGCAGCAATAATCAGATTATGCAAATATTTTACCCTACGCATTTTGTGAAGTCAACAGATTGATTCCTTCACCTCTCATCAGTAACAGTAACAGAGTTGGAAGGGACCTTGAAGGTCATCTAGTTCAACCTCCTGCTCATGCAGGAGACCTATACTATTTTTGACCAATGGCTGCCCAGTCTCTTCTTAGAAGCCTCCAGTGATGGGGCGCCCACAACTTCTGGAGGCAATTTTTGCACTGGTTGATTGTTCTCACTGTCAGGAAGTTTCTCCTTAGTTCCAGGTTGCTTCTCTCCTTGATTAGTTTCCATCCGTTGTTTCTTTGTCTCGCCTCCTGGATGCTTCAAAATTAGGTTTATGAATGAAGGCGAATGTACGTGTCCCAGGATAATGTTGCAGGATCCAATCTAGGTTGATCACTGGGATCAGTCAGAGGTTTCGTCTTCCAAGCTTTTGGATTCATGCTGGAGCCCATCCTCAGAGAATTTCTCTCTATCTCTTTTTTTGTGGCACTCCTTCAAGTATTGGAAGATTGCTATCATGTCTTCCCTAGTCTTTCTTTTCACTAGACTAGACGTACCCAATTCCTGCAACCGTTCTTCATACATTTTAGCTTCCAGCTCTCTAATTAACTTTGATGCTCTTCTCTGTCCTCTTTCTCTCTCTTTTTTTTTGTACTGGGGTGGCAGAAGACTAGAACCCAGAATTATCCAAGAAAGTCAACTGGGTGTAGATATTACAGGGCACTCACTGCCATTACTCACCTCGGATTTTGTTGGCCAGATGTTCCTTGGATTGGATGATCTGATCCATATCTGTCCGGATGATGCTCTTCATTTCAGGAATCTGAAGCTCACATTTGGCCACTGAGGAGTCATAATGGGCTGTTGCCTGGTCACAGACGATTCTGTACACCGCATCAGAGATCTACCAAAAGTGAACCATGGATAGTTGCGGAACGGCCGAAGAGAATTAGATCAGCAAACCCAAGTCAGGAACCTTTTGACTCTTGTTTGGGGGGAAGGGGATCTAGCAAAACCCAATGAAGATTGCAAGCAACAAACATCACACACACACACACACAACGAAGACTTGTTATAAACTGTACATTCCATGTTTATATTCATTTCATAGAAAGGCAGTTCTGTTCTTCAACCTGGAATACGCCACAGAGGTTATGAAAATATCGGAACGAAGGAAGGAAGGAGACAGGAAGGAGAGAAGGAAGAAAGGAAGGCGTATGGAGGAAAGAGACAGGAATGAGAGAAGGAAGGAAGGAAGGAAGGAAGGAGACAGGAATGAGTGAAGGAAGAAAGGAAGGCGTATGGAGGAAGGAAGGAGACAGGAATGAGAGAAGGAAGGA